ATAGAATTACTAACAAAGAACTGCTAACAGAGCACTATACTAATAAAGGACTGGCTTATCTATAGCCAGTTGAGTAGCACTTGAAATGTTTGGCTCTATGAAACCTGATGTACTTATATGATTCTGTTTTCTTCAAGGTTGTGTCTTCCTGGTCGAATGTACTTATTGTAAGTCGCTTTGGATAAAAGCGTCAGCTAAATGCAATGTAATGTAATCTAAAAACAGAGGGATGATAGCTCATATTATATATGAGAATTCAATGGTCTTTTATTTTTGAAACTCTACATCAGATTGTCCTGATTTTCTCTGAGTGACTAGATGGGGTGTCCTGCTATCACCCTGGAGTGAAATAAGTCTTTGATACTGGAGAGTTTTTGTTTTATTCTTATCTAAAAACATCGGGACGATAGCTCATATGAGACTTCAAATGTCTTTTATTTTGAAACTCTACATCAGATTATCTTGATATTCTCTAATGTTGCATTTCCACTAAAGCGTGGAGCGCGTTTCTGAACAGATATAAGGAGCTGTGAGCTCTGAGGGCTAACAGCTAACGGCTGATGTTGGTTTTGTGTTTCGCATTGAAAATGACATTACGGCTCCACCTACACTGCGTTATTATAGATACTACCCCAGTTCCTAAACTGTAATGGAAACGCTGCATAAAGTGAGCCTGGCCTAACAAGGCCTAACGAGGCCTAGCCATACCGTACTAAGCCGAGCGAGGCCCTGCAGTGGAAATGCGCCATAAGTGACTAATTGGGGTGTGCTGCTATCACCCTGGAGTTAAATAAGTCTTTGATAATTGACAGTTTCTGTTTTATTCTTATCTAAAAACAGATGGACGATAGCCCATATGAGATTTCAAAAGTATTTTATTTTGAAACTCCTTAAGTTTTACATTCACTCAGTTATAATGTGGTAGTTATACGTAGTTTGTTTTAAATAATTGTTGATCACATTATATAGTAGGCTACATATTTCTTAATTTAAAGTGGACCTATCATGCTATATTTGAAACATATATTGTAGGGCCATACCTATACAAAACATGTCTGTGAAGTTTTTTTTTCAAAATACCAAACAGTTCACCCATGCCGCTTACTGCTCATACCCCTCTTTTGCAGCCCTGTTAGAGAAACGCGGATTTTGGGTCCTTAGCTTGAAGAAAAGAAAGAAGAGGAGGCGGAGCTAATGCCTGATCAGAATTCTACCGAGGATAAAGTTAAATTCTGCTGAGATAAAACGCCATCCTTTTTAAACCACGTCAAGGATTAATTCTGAAATAGTATGGAGCTCAAATGCTTTTTCTCTTGCAGATTTATCACAAGGTGCATTCTTTTTCTATTTCCTGCTTTTTGTGCTCTACACAGTACAGGTTAGCTCTGAGTGTTAGCAAGGCTTGCTATTGTCAACAAAGACGTGATTATGTCCAAAACACGTCAGGCATTGTTTCTGATAGCAACTTTCTGTGGGTCCGCTGCCGATTTTGACGTCAGTTCGGATGGAATCTGTATCCACTCGAAGATTTGGGTACGGAGGAAAAGAGAGAGGGTTTTATTTTCTGACGCTGCGTGAGTTCCCCGAGGCACCGGAGACACATATGTATGTATAAAAGACTCACAAAGTGCATTTTGCATGATAGGACCCCTTTAAGCTCCAGTATATGACTATATTTGGTATGTTTTGTAGGTATATTTGTTATTGACCGAGTAAGCGTTTTTATTTTGAAGGCAGTTTTTCCAGGCCTCTACCGTAATGCATAGGATATTCCATATTCGTGCACCGCAATACAACGTGCGGCCGTATTCCGAAGTGGAGGCTGGTGGCTTGAATGCACTGATTTTGAGTGATTAGGTCACGGAAGTTATTGAAGAAATAAGCTAATTTTTCCATTAAAATATTAATATAAAATATTTAAAGTATTGAAATGCAATAAAAAGAGGTGTGTCCTATGCAGCAAGTGTAGTTATTTGATCCAGCACTGATTTTGAGTAATTAGGTCACATGACCTAGCAGTTATTGAAGAAATATGCTAATTTTTCCATCAAAATATTAATAAAATGTATGTAAAGTATTTTAAAATGTAATAAAAAAGGAGGTGTGTTCAATAAATGTATGCTCTAGAGCAGGGGTGGCCAACCAGTCAGAGGTTAAGAGCCACATTTTTTCTATGTTACTGCAAAGAGCCACATCAAACACACAGTCACTGATACCGCTTGTTTCTGTTTTTTGTTTTCTGGAGACAAGATTTCAACCACGTCACTGATGCATTTTTGTGGCATTGGGATATATATTTTTTAAATCCTCTGGAGCAGAGAGAAGAGCTGTGGATTATTGTTATTGATTATTGCATCAGTGTTTCTTAGGGTCAAAAACACTAAACTCACAACTTCAAATGAAAGCGTTTAGTTTATTTAATAAAAGAGCACATGTTCAATGTGAAAAGTGACAGTAGTTATAGATTATTTGAAATTTGGTGCTATATATATATTTAAAAAAAAATTATATATATTTTTTAAACACCTTGAATTTCAGGGGGGGGCGCGGGGCTCCGTTGGCGGGGTGCAAGACAATGGTATGGGAAACACTGGATAGTAGTGTTTAATCAACGATAGGTTTTCCCCCCCTTAAAAGGTGATTGGTTCACTGCATCGCAGGTATTATTGTGATTGGCTCTTGGGCCACATCAAAATTAGACGCGCTGTCATCCTCTCATACTGACACCTGACACCACACATACACACGTAGGGAGAGCCCGGACGAAAGTAACACGGGACGAAAGTAACACGGAACGAAAGTAACGGAGCAATTTTATCCGAGCCCAAACAACTTTGACCGGCCAAATTACGTCAGAATGATCAGCATTCAATACTTAACAGACCTACTAAATATCAGGTTTAACTGTCAGGAGTAGCTGGTGTTGTCACGATACCAACATTTTGGTTTCGATACCAAGTCAAGAATTGCGATTCCGATTATTTTTCGATACTTTTCTTAAAAAAAGGGAAACAGTCTTAAATGTAATTATTGTGCTTTATTTCACACCAGAACCAGAACCATAACACAAACTTTTAAACAATGAGAACAATAAATAAAATAAATGACAAGAATTCGTATTAAATACAATTAATACATCTCTTACAGACAGGCCTCGTGGTGTCCGTAGGCTTGCCCTCACTGTCAGAGATATAGCTCAAATACATCAAAAATGTCGCTTCTGGCGTCTTTTTTGTCAACAAGCCGAGGCGCAGCGGCAGTTGCACTCCCACTTGCAGCCATGCTTCTCGTTTTCTCACATGCTCTGGCAGCTAGCGCGTGCACGTTAGCGGGGAGGCACTTGAGCGTGCTTGAGAGGGGCGGGACTGCAGGCACGGCTGCAGTGCAGGGAGTGGAAGCAGAGCGCTGAACACACACAGCTCTTATTTAAACGGCGCTTTCTCACCGTCATTCTTAAACGGAGGAATCGTAACTTTTTTAACGGCAGGGTATCGCGGTATACCTTTCAAGTATCGGTACACCTTGCACCACTAGTCAGGAGTCAGTGTCTCTCCCCCAAACTCACACATATAAAATTCAATATGAACTGAAGAGCCGCATGAAACTAGGCAAAGAGCCGCATGCGGCTCGAGAGCCGCAGGTTGGCCACCCCTGCTCTAGAGTGTATTTGCTTCACATTCACACGATCGGGAAGCTGTCGATTTATTAAAAAGAACATTGTTCTTGTATAATTGAAAAGTCATTTGTTGATGGTCCCTAAGTGAAAGCCTCGTTTCACGGAGAAGATCTCCCCGTCGTAATACAGCCAGCAGCAGGGGAAACTGACGCTGCTGGCAAGTCCGCGAATGTCTGTCGAATATCCAACCTAAAACTAACTTCACCGCGGTGTTGAACAAGGCTTTTTAAGCTGAACATCGCCACAATTGTTCTGTCACAGCTGAAGTAAAAACAATAAGTGTGGCTTGATATTGAGTAAGAAAAAGGTTTATAACGCTGTGAGAATGGGTCTGCGGAGAGCATTTCTCCGCGATCCCAACTTAGTAGCCCGAAAAACATTTACCCATTTAAACAATCTGTTTTAAACATCATAAATACAAACAACAATGAATACTTACAGGTTGTGTACCCGAATCTCCCGCTGGTCCAAACAAAGTAGGAACAGCATCGTTCTTCAGTGCCCTGCGCTGTACGTATCTGGCATGAATCGCTGAAAGGTTTGTGAAGCTTTGTTTCGTGAAATGCTGGCAGAGGGTGTGGCCTCTGGGTATTCACACGTCACAGTTCCCAGGAAGTAAACAATGGAAAATGAGAAATCTCCAACGAGGTGTTTTGGGGCAGCATAGACTGTGTTTTACTCACTACAGGGTGTACTTTGAGGGTTTTTGACTCAGACCGTTTACATGCATAAACCCTTCATAACACACAAGGGGACGGGTAATAACCGGAAAAGCATGACATGGGCCCTTTAATTATTGAAAAAATATGAAAAACTCTAGTCTAAATGACTCTTTATGTGTACTTAATTATACATATTTGTTCCATCTCTAATGTCTGTTCATATAATTAATTTCTGTTGTTGGATATGAATTGGAATTCAAATCTAATGTGAGTGTCCCATTTCACTTCAGTCCACTGACCTGTTGAGTTGAGCACAGTGTGCCATCAGAACGGTCTTTCCTGTGCACGGGCCTCCTGTCACCACTAGGGGGCGCTGCTGTTCACTCTGCTCCACATAGGCTCTGACTTCCAGCAAATACAAATACCATCCTGTAATGCAATGTGACTGCAAATGTTGTCTATATCAGAATGTCACAGGGAAAATAGATCATACAATATCCCCAAAAATACATTTAAAGTAGTTATAAAAACGTAATTGACTAAATTGTAAAGTAATTATTTGACTTAGAAGAGATATTCCTTTGCTCTTAATCCTTTACGATGCCAAAGGTAAGATAAAACAGAACAAGTAAAACATATATTGAATAAACTGGAAACCGGTATTGAATAGAAAACACATTTATTTAGTTTGTTAGGTTACAAAGTTAAGAAAATACATTTCCTGATTAACAAAGATTTTGTTTTACTTTGATCACACAAACATAAAATATTAACTTACATTTTAAACTTGTACAACGTGAACGGAAGAAGTCTTTAATGCTAAGAATGTCATCATAATGTTTCAAAAGCATGGTGCTCAATCCAGAGTGGACCTACTGTAACAGTGACAGAAATGGCAGTAGCCTGATTTCTGGACACACAATTTGTGGAGAATGATTTTAAAATGTTGGCCCACTATACACTTTAAAGTGTTGTGTTACGTCAGGCAGTTTTTATTTATTTTTAAATCTTTCTTCCCTATTCAAATGTGTGTTTATGCTAAAACACCGGTCATACCTATAACAGAGTTCCCAAAAAACTGATTTCTTAATATGTCAACATGTTTAAGTACAATCAAATAAAATACATGCATAACTGTTTCTCAAACTACTGAATAATAGAATATGGACTGCTGATGAAGCTTACATTTGGCAGATTATTCCGACAAAAATAACAACTCTTTAAATGATAATAATGCGGACTTCATTACTTCATTCTGTAATGTCTGCTTTCTTTCAGAAGCCTCTGTTGTGATTAATAGCCTGGAGGAGCCTGGTGTGCATGGTCCTCTCGGCCGGGTACCTCTGGTAGACAGGCAGTAACAGCAGATGGTGGCAGGTGAGGGATTCTGGCTTATCGATCTCGGTGGAATCGGGCAACACCGCGACTTTCATCTGAACACTCTCCATACCCAGGAAGGGAACACGGTAGGAGCCGGTGACGAACACTGATAACAAATAAAGAATCTTAAATTAATGAAATACAACTTCATAGAACACCAAGGAAGCTAATACTGATAGGGACTCCACTTGAAACGGAATAAATTATGTCAATCATTTCTGATACTTACGAAATAATTTTTTCTTCTCCTCCGCGGTCAGATTCTCAAACACCTCCCAGAAGGTCACGATGTTTGGATGCCTGTCATGGTAGTCTCCTTCATAAACTGTGTTCTGTTTGGAAATGACATGTGGAAAGTTACTTTACATCTCCCCTACAAGCACTTAAAAACACACAAAACTGTATGAACAAGCAAAGTAACTGAGCATATCTTAAAGGTCTCATGTTATTTACCTTTTTAGGCTTATTTAAATATTTTTGGAGACTACTAGAATATGTTTAAATGCTGTAATGTTCAAAAAAACCATTATTCTTCTCATACTGCCTGCAAGAGCTGTATTCAGCCTCTCCCAAAAGCTCAGTCTATTCTAATTGGTCAGCGTTTCCCACTAGCTGTCGATTGGTATCTCAAATCTGATTTGCTCTTTCTTAGACAGGATTTTAAATATGTGGATCAGCAGAACATTTGAATTATTTATTGCTGAAACTTTCCGAGTATCTTTAGTATATATGTATATGTCTGTGTAAAAAGACATGAAAAAGTGCATATTGCATAATATGTGACCTTTAACTGAAACAGTCACTTAAACAAATACCTAAAAAACGGGTCATCTTGTTCTCCATATTTTTGTGATATATTCTTGTTTCAAATGAAATATCCTCAGACATAAGATAAAACATTATTCTGAATATCTGAACTTCAGCAGACCTTCTTGAACACCTCCCAGTCGTAGTTCTCCTGGCCCACCATCACTGCCTGCAGCTCCTCGGGCTGGAAGAACTCCACCACGTCGATATCACACACTTTGAAGAAGCCTTTCTTGAACGCTTCAAACACTCCCTCCACTGATTTGTTGAAGGCATAGTTGACGTAGGCATCTACAAACTCTTTCCTATTAAAACATTTAATAAAAGAATATACAAAAGATTAAACCGAGTGCTGACATTGAGTATCCCACACCTAAAAAAAAAAATTCTAAATGTTTCTTCTGTAATACACTTTACACAGTAGAGCAACTCAACGCTACATCTTTAATGAAAATAATGTATTTTTTTATGACAGGTTTAACTGCTAGATGGCAGCAAAGATTTGCAGTCGACGTAAAAAAGAATGGATCATTGTGTGTTTGTTGACAGCATGTACTGCTGAATGGCAAGAAATCTGGGAGGTTGTCAAAGACACAGACTGACAGAAACTAAATACATGTTTAAAGCTTGTGAGGCAGACTAAAGCTGTGCAGATCAGATTGTTAAATACAACAGTTAACCGTACCTGTTGGACGCTGTCACAACTTTCCCAGTTTCTTTCGGATTAAGTTCAGCTGTCTCTCCGCCCCAGGGCACCTGGTCAAACAAACGATTACAGCCAGAGTGGAATATGCAGAAACACATGTGGGCAACAGAGCAGAAGAATGCCTTTCGGACTGCGATTGAGTAAACTTACAGTGAAAGTAATTTTGTTGACCTTATCAGGAGGGCAGTCCAACAGGATCTGCCAAGACCTGTAAACAAGAAAGTCAATAATACAAAAAGATCAATCTGAAACAACTATAACCTGCAAACATTTCAGAGAAAGAATATGTGAGTCTTACTCTCCCATGACAGGGTCGAACTCCTTCATGTCGTCCAGTGAGGGTTTGACCTTGAGCAGCTTCTTGAAGAGAACCAGTGGGAAGCGCAAGTGGACAAGGTTGTGGTGGTAGAGAGCCAGGCCGCACAGAACGCCAAACAGGAAGTAAGTCTTCTCCTCTACTTTTGGCTGTTTGGTTTATGCCAAAACACATTAAGATTTGGTAGGATTCAATAACGATGAAAAGGTAAAATGTACAGTACAGTATATCAGAGTTATACATTCACGTCTTTGTTCATAAGACTTTTATAGTAATCACCTCACTTGTATGTTAAATTCATTCAAATGAGGAATTTAATAAGTAAATGTATAGAGGACTGGGCAGTATATCGACAATATACCAATATATTTTCAAATGTACCAAGCAGCCCCTCCAAGAATGAGCAGCGGGACCGCCCCATCCACACAGCTATGGGATATGTTAAGCAAGAGAGGAAAACCAGAGGTCTTTCATTTTGCGCGAGCAACGCGAGAAATGGCCATGACATGGGCCCTTTAATTTAATTAATGGTTTTGTGTTTAAATATCGTGTCTTACCCTGACAGGGAACCAGGCCAGAGTGTTGCTCTCGTTGAACATGAACATTTCAGACTTGGGAGACATCAGCTCTTCAAACACTTGCAGGAAGAAATCTCTTTTGTAGACATCCATCACCTTTGTCCTGTCTTCATCAAATTGCACCTTCAAAGGATCAAATAATGTTTTCATTATTAACAGTCCTTAAACTAGTATCAGCTCTGGTAAATAAAACATCCTGTCATCCATTGTGGGCTTAGAACTAAGACACTCCAAAATGCATAATTACTACACCAACAACTCCCCTTACACAATCCACTAATTCATGCTATTGATGGGCACATTTTAAAAACTTAAATGTTTACTGTATTGACATTTTGCTCCAAATGAAGTCAACTGATTTTACACATAAAGTAAAAAGTATTGAAGCAATGAAAAATATGCTTTTAAGTAGCATTGTGGGGACTATAGGATCCAGATGTTGTTGATTTGTGACCCATTACAGAGAGTAGATCTTCAGATATCTCAGCCTACATTGCTGTGATTTTGACAATTTTTAATTTCTTGTGAATCCCACAACATATGGAAGTGCAACACTAAATGGCTGAAGTATCCATAAAATAACTCTGAAACTAAGTATAAAAAGACAAGGGCTACAAAATGTTGCCTCAGGCAACTAAACATGGCAACATTTTGTAGGTATGTTGTAGTATGTTTACCAAAAGCTCCCTCTTGAAGGCGCAGTGGTCGGCCGCCCCCCAGCTGTCTGAAGGTGTCCTCCACCAGATGAGAGCGTCTTAGGGTGAAAATAACTAAATAAGAACTTCAATAAATTGATTAGAAATGATCTAATGTTACGAATACTGTACCTTTGAGATAAACGCATAGTGATTAAAGACTGCCACCTTTTGAACCAGAGTGAACAGGAATGGGTAGCGGCAGAAAATGACGGGTGTGTCGACATCATCCTTAAAAGGAAATAAATTGATAATAATAACTAAATAAACAATTTCAGCATGAAGCATTTCAACAGAAAATGCTCAGGATAAAATCACAAATAGTTAGAAATAAATGCAATATCTCAAAAATGGTAAGATATGTTTTTACCTCCTCTTTGGAAAATCGAAACCAAAGAGCAACGTCCTGATTTAGCAGCACACTGTCACTGATCTCCTCTACGCAGAAGGTGCTCGGTGGGACTTTGTAGGACTTTCCAGCTTTGTTTGCCTATAAGTAAAACACACGTTTAGCCTCAGAGTTCATTCTGATCACCCATAAAGATTGAACAATCATTTTTCCGACCTCTTCTGGGAAACGAAAAAGTTTGCTAGAAAGGGCCGAAACATCTGCCTCGAAAGGTAGCAACATTTCAGATGAGTTACAGGGCAGACTGTAAAATAACCTTTCTGACACCAGCAAAAAAACTAAAAAACTCTTTGGGGCTGGTTCAGATAGTGGGGAAAAGTCTTTTTATCCTTTTATAAGGATAAATGTTTTCCTTTCATGTTTGGTCCTGAAATAAAAAAAAATAAAAAAGTAAAAAACGGCACTCACTTTGTACAGCATCTTGAGGACCTCCACCAGGTATTTGACTCCGGGGTTATGAGTTACAAGGAGGCCATTTCTGAGCAGGAAGGCCAGGGCCTTTTTGAACACCAAGATGTGCTTCATCAGTATGGAGGGTCTCAGGGTGGACCACCAGCGTCCTGAGAACAAAAGGCATTGTCCGTCTTGTATTAGAGAGCTCAACACACTGCAAGTAAATAGCAGATCTTTACCAACTTGACCAAATTAGCAAAACATGCTTGGACATGCTTGTTGTTGCCATGTTTTTTTGGCAACAACAATGTGTACATTTCTTGATCTGACAAAGTTATTAATCTGACACAACAATACAATATATAATATAATTAGCTGGCTAATGCTATGTTGATTGTTACTTTCAGAAAACATGAAAACCAGTTAATCTGACATTAATGATAAAAAAAAACTATTTTCTGAATTTGTTTATCAGTTAACAATTAAGTAAATTAAATAGTATTTATGCATGTTAAAAATCGACTGGTTTTAAACCAATAAACTATTTGCAGTCTATTGTTGTCTTTGAAAGTACCTTGGATCATTACAAAACCAAACAAAATACTTTAGAACATTTTTGCTGTCGTTTACTTAGTGTATCTTGAGTCTTCTCCTGCAGATCTGCAATATTGATCGCCAGCGCCAACACCGGCTGCATGACATTACACTCCTCTTGGAGGAGGGGACACGTCAGCAGAATCAGGAAGATTTCTGGTGATTTTAGGAGATGGCTTGAATTGCAGAGCAAATCAATCAGGAGTGTAAGATTTACCTGCAAAAAATAAATTGAGATTACATTGTAATGTTTAAACAGCATGAATAAGTTTGTGAAAAAAACTGTTTAGTGGCTAGTTTGAACCATTTCCATGCATAGAAGGGATTTAGAGCCTTGTGGGTCACAACTGTATCTCAGTTTACGTCTCAAGCAAAAGAGAGTAATGCTTGGCAGTAATTCAAACGTCTTAACTGATTGTTTGATCCATGGCACTGCCAGCATCTGGTCGAAAGCTTCGCTAGCTGCATCAAGGTCCACAGTTAGAGCACCTGCTTCTGATGGAGGCCCACTGATATCAAAAGCAAAGCATTACAACTAAGTAGCAGAACCAGAATGAGTTGATGGGATTCAGAAGATCTTATAATTCTTATTTTTTTAATTCATGAGTTAAACAATAGAAAAATAACTCACTCAGCCTTCGTGAAACTTGCAACAAGACTTGTGTTTGACTGAAACATGGAAGATATTTCTCTGTTGAATAAAAAGAAAAGGAGGGAAACCATGAAAACACTGCATCTGCTGCTGGATGTATGATATTTTATATGTGCAGCTACTTAACTCCAACCGTAATTAAAGTATGAAAATAATTACCTCTTTGCCTCTACGTTGCCATGTGTCATTGACAGCCATTGTTGAAGTTTGGTCTCATCAAGTCGCCCAGTTATCTGTCCTTTGTCCAAACGCTTAAACGACAGACATGAGATTTAACGGATTTAAGCTCTGGTAAAAAACTAACATTAAATCAAGGTAAAACAAAAATCAAATCTGTACCTATAGAAATTATTCATGCAATATGCACAGTGAGTCTCTGAACATATTACCTGTGGAGGTGAAGTGTAGGTACAGCTTGTATTCCACCCAGCTGATATTTTCAAGTCTGCTTGAACCAGGAAAAAACACATTTGCAAATGTAATTTATCTCTGTTAGTTTGACACTACTTCTACCATAAAAAATACATTGATTAGAACTGCTGCTAACTAGACTTATATTCTCTGCTAAGGATACTATTTCTCCAATATGCCTTCACAAAGCAAATAGTTGTATGTTGCTATATTAATGTTCTGAATTTTTTATTAGGGAACTTACAAATATACTAAACACCACCCTGGCCATACATACATACCCTTGGGGACAGCTACCACACTTTCAGTGGTCCATGGAAGAGATACCAGAGTGGGAGTTAGACTATTTTCTGTTCGTCCTGTCCCAATTTGACCTTTGGCCCCATCGCCAAAAGCCCACAGCTGGCCAGAGGAGGACAAAACCAGTGTATGACGTCTGGGGGACAAAAACAATTGTGATTGTAAATCAATAATAATAAAAAAAATGGATAGACGTGCAATAGGTGTCCTTTTTTTATTGTAAATGTAATGAGCTAGTCACTCTAAAACGCCACAATACATTAAGCCTTTCTTAAATGAAAACACTGTTTTCACCTGCCACAGGAAATGTGTGATGCAGGTCCATCCAAACCGTCCACCAGTCTGGGTTTCAGTTCATTATCAGATGAGTTGTGACCGAGCTGACCGTAGCTTCCCTCTCCAAAAGTGAAAACCTTGCCGTCCTAGAAATCACAGCGTCACATATCAAAATAAGCAACATCCTAATATTTGTATTATGTTTACAATGGAATTTATGATTGGTTAAAATCTGAAGATTCAGTACCTTAGTTAACACAGCAGAGTGTGCTTCTCCACAGCTTATGAAGGAGACACCCAGAGGTCTGAGGGCGGGTACCATGAAGATGTTGAACCTGCCTGATAAATATGATAAAAAATAGAATAAAAGATTCCTGTTTCCAAAATAATTATACATACAAGCTATGATGGTCTGTACAATTTCAATATTTGAGGTTAACATTTTAAAAGCCCTCTTTTCTCTGGACAGAAGGCTTTTATTCTGAAATGTTACCAGGCTAAGGTTGTGGAAAATGCAGTGACTCCAAAAATTAAAAGAATACTGGCTTGCAATGGGCAATGACTATTATTTATAAACAAATCCATATTTCTAACTCTAAAAATGACAAAAGCCCTCCACTTGCATGGACAATTTGCTGCTTGCTGAACATCACATGACACAATTGAAGTACATAATTGTTACCCTTCTCGTCCACCCTGTTGAGACCCAGCTGGCCAGATTTATTGGCCCCACAGCAGTACACCAGGCCTGGGAGTGTGAGGAACAGGGAGTGGGTCGCTCCGGCCGTAACCTGGGTAACCGCTACGCCGGTCAGAGCGCGCACCAGGTCAGGTACAAACTGCAGCGACACCTCCTTCCCCAGGCCTAGCTGACCATGACTGTTCGAACCCCACGAGAAGACATCGCCTCCTGAAAAGTGAAATAATAGACTTTTTATTTTTACAACACACAAAAATAACTGTAAGACTGTGGGCTTGTTCAGAAGATAATGTCACATTAATACTGATTTAAAAATGAAAAAAATTGAACATTCAACATGTAGGCCTATATTCTCTTTTTTGAAATGTGTTGCACCTTTGTCTGCCTTAAGCTCCCACTAATTAAAGAACATTTACTTTGCACTAAATTGTCGGTGGGGAATAGGGAAACTGGCACAGTGATAAATTAACATTAAAATCGAAATCATTATTACACATAACTAAATATAACAAACTGTGGAACAAACAATGTTACTGTTGCATACCATATCAGAAAGATGGCATCAGTATGTGCATTGTCATACCTTTAGTCAGAGCCAGAGAGTGGGAGTTTCCACAAGCAACTTGAATCACAGGTATTGGCAGTGGCATCTGCACATGACTGCATGTTGACGAAACAATAGCAAGTAAAAATTATCAAACAAATGCCTACTTTCAGACCTAAGTATACATATTCATATATTCCTGCTTAGTGTGAGATCGTACTGGTCTGTTGTGGAGTAGATTTGGTAAAAGGCCTCTCTGTCCGTCCTCTCCTGCCCCCCAGGAGAACACCTTTCCAGATGCACACACAGCCAGGCAATGGTCCTGACCACAAGCTATGGCCACCACATCGCCCAGCCCCTCCACACGACCTTATACAGGGGGACAGAAAAGAGGATAACATATCAGGCATGTGGCGCAATGGACTAGGGCATTGGTATTCAGATCAGGGGAGCACAGGTTCAAACCCCACTGCAGTCAGCATGTCGTTGTGTCCCTGGGCAAGACACTTCACCCCAAGTTGCTCGTGTGGGGATTGCCCACAGTATTGAGTATGTAAGTCACTTTGGATAAAAGCGTCTAACAAGTAACATTGTAATGTATATTTGGAATAACAATATCGCCATCTAATACTAAACAAATCAAGCAAAACGGTTCCAAACATGCTATCAACTATACATAAGAAAAAGTGACAATGCTCATAAAAAAAATGGTGGAAAAGTAGGCTACTACTAACTAACTACATTGCCTTAAATGTAAAAATGTTGAGTTCATTTACTTACTGGTTTCATTTAATGCAATGTTATTCTTTTACAATTTAGGTAATCTTAAATGCAGGACTATATTACACTGTATTTTTTTACTTTAAAGTATCTTAATTATTGTACTGCCACTAATTCCCACAAACCCGAATACATCACTGTAATGAATGTTCCAATTTCCCATCTGCACAGTTTCGTTTACCCCTTGTCAGTGAAGACAACGAAAGTTATGCGTGATGTTCTCACGCATAACTTTCGTTGTCTTCACTGACAAGGGGTAAACGAAACTGAAACGTAGCACAGCTGATTGAGCTGCACAAGAAGTTCATTTATGGATTTCGATGCAGACTCATAAGATAATGATTAAACACAAGATAAAGTCAATGTAATTGTCTTGAAAGACGAAGAACCATCAGATATTCCTCATCCTCAAAATATATTAAATTTAGATAAAACATGTCATGATAAAAAACACTTTACGTTTTTACTAAAGTACTAACTGTCTAAGTTGTTATTATTTTATGGGCTACTACATGGCTATTTCTTGTTATGTCGAGATTCTGCAGCCTACCTGTTCTCCCATCTTTACGGTTCTTTCGTCCAAGTTGTCCCTGAGAGCATGGCCGTATCCACCATTGAGGTCACCGAGGTCCGGACCTCGGTAATATTTTCCGAGCTGTGTATATAACAAAACTTGTGAAATAATTGCACTAAACGGGGTTATTTGTAGTACTTCCAATTACTGCCGATGGGGGCGCTGCATAACTACGTAGCCTCGATTAAAGCAAACAGAAGAAGACGACATGTATCAACAAACCACCGCAGCCCGGACTTGTACCGGAGCAGCGAAGGAGTGATGAGGTATCTAGAGATCTGAGTCCAGCAGGCTGCTTGTGTTTCTGTTCATCAGGACATCATATGACCAGCAGATCCTGTGTGAACGCTCTACGTTAGTCAGTGGACGTCCGACAACATGCACACTAACTTATATTGCAGCTATACGTTGGTTTTAAATTGCGTGAATAAACTAGCTAGAGAGCTAAAGTTAATTACATTCATCCAATGTCAGAAGGATTACCTTTTCAAACGTTGTAATGCTTTTCTTTCATTTCAATTTGAGTAAAACATTGAAGATATAACATTGTATTGTTTTCTTTTTACACTGACTCAGATATAATGAAAAGACTACGTCAGTCGAAGCTCAGCTTTGGTAAGGAAGAGAGAGAGAGAGAGAGAGAGAGAGAGAGAGAGAGAGAGAGAGAGAGAGAGAGAGGAGGAGAGAGAGAGAGAGATAGAGAGAGAGAGATAGAGAGAGAGGAGAGAGAGAGAGAGAGAGAGAGAGAGAGAGAGAGAGAGAGAGAGAGAGAGAGAGAGAGAGAGGAGAGATAGAGAGAGAGAGAGAGAGAGAGAGAGAGAGAGAGAGAGAGAGAGTAGAGAGAGAGGAGAGATGGAAGTCATGGAGGAACTGCAGGTACAGTCACACAAAAATGTAGGCTTAAAGGAATGGTATGCTCATGACACTCATTTTTAAATAATTATCATCCGATAAAACAGACCAGTCTCTGCCAGTCTCTCTCTTTTTTTTTTTTTTTAATCCGATGACATTATCAGTGATTTTAAACTGATTAATTACCGAAATAACATCAACACTGTGGACGGCGCCATTTTACCGGACGTGACGTAAACCATGCGTTTGGTTTCGAGGACACGTTGATGTTCATGTTATTTACTGTAGTTACTCTCTTCAAATATGCCTCATTGTATCGCGAAACATTGCCACAATTCTGATAGGAACAATCCACGGAATGCTTGGTTCCATCTGTTGCCAAAAGGTAAGCGTAGGAAGTACGTTCGGAAGCAGTGGCTAGCGAAATGTGGCCGGCCCGAACCGAAAGATCCACAGGCGCATGTATGCAGCGAACATTTCAAGTTTCCGGACGACTACTATGAGTATGATAAAACATAACATGGGATTTATTGAATAACCATTACTTAATGGAGATGCAGTACCATCGGTCTTTCTGGTGTCATCACCGACCAGGACACCAGTTCGGCCAGTTGAGAAATCGCCCTCTGCAAGTGTGAAGCGACGGAGGACCAGAAGTAGTGCTCGGAGTAAGAATAAGGTATGTTATAGCGCATTTCCATTGCAGCGGGTAGCCCCGTTTAAACGTCCTTTATCGTCCAGGCCAGGCCAGTTTTTGGTGGCCTTTCCATATAGCGTAGTACCAGCTAGTGGGTATTTCCCCCCAGTTTTTCCGGCCCCATAAAATCGTGGTTCTAGGGCCAGGGACAACGAGGCTGAGTATGCTAAACTAGAGAGGGAATCGCTAGCAAGGGTGGTACTACATGCATACATATCTAGTATTCAAAATCATTGTATCTACTAAGTAGTACTAAGTAGGCTCGAATCTGTATGGCTGAATTCCCCCTTCCAATCTCTTCATATTGCTCAAAACTTCGCCATGTTTTCGTGTGTTTACAAAGTGAACGCATGGATGACGTCACGACCATCACGTGACTACTGAACATGGGCAAAATGGCAGCGGCCTGACGGAATATACAGGTTTTGATAAAAAAGAGCTATAAAATCATTATTTACCGGGGTATACCGCTGATTTCTTCAGGGTATGGTTTAAACATAATGTTTCACTAAATACTGAAGTTTTGATTAATTATCTAATGAGTGGAGCATTCCTTTAATAACCCCATCTATTTATCTATCTGGTTTATCTATAACAATAGGCATCATTTTAAAACAACATACATCTATTGCAGTTATGATGTCATAATAACATACAATTGTATAAAACATAATTTACTTACATCTTCTGTTCAAACAAAACAGATTTAAATAAAAATAACAGTGCAAACAAACAAGTGAAATGAACAAAATGGCTGAATTGCTTTTAATTCACTGGCAGGAGCGACAAGTGAGGAGGAGCAAAAAGTAAACAACAAGGGAGAGATTGAACAAAGAGAAAGAGTAGAGGACAGAGAGAGTAATGAACAGGAAGAAGACAGAGAGACTAAAGAAGATGGAAGAGAGGGGGCAGGTTATAGAAAGGAGAGAGACATGGAAAATGAATGTTGACAATGTTTTGTGATCATTTTAGCCTCTTCTGCATGTCCAGATCATTAATAGTAAAAATCAACTGATTCTTATTATGTATTACACTTTAAAAAATAATTGATGCTGACATTGTCAGTCCACTGACATGGTTTGAAATCAATATATTATCCAATTTGTGACCCCTCACAGGACTTAAAAAGCACCTAACTAGATCATGAAAATCCCCAAAATCTCGGGGGGTATCCCCCGAACCCCCCTAACATGTTTGGACCTCGGTATTTAGGAAATCCTGGATACGGCCCTGCCTGAGAGTTGTTTCCACATGACAACACGCCGCCCTCCCCGTTGAGCAGTAAAGTGTGCTGGTCCCCGCAGCAGATGTCGGTGATAACCCCGGGGACCGACCAGGACATCGGGCTGAGGGCTGTCTGTGGACCGAACTGTCCACTGGAGCTGTCTCCCCAACAGTACAGCTGCACCATCATGTAGTCTCCACCTGGACTCTGTCTGCAGCATTTGCGCCTGCAATTTATCCCCTCTGATGTTACCTTCAAGTGCTGTCGGAGGTATCAGAATGACAATAGTAAATATGCATCTTTACTTCTCTTTCTGCAGGTGTTGCATATTAAGTAGGCTTGCTTAAAAAGTCTAGCACGTTAACTAAGTTTGTAACTAGCTTAAATGTGTCATTTATTTTTCCAACAAAGCAAGCAAAAGACAATTTAATAGAAACAATGATGTAAGTTGTCTAATTTACGAGCCTGCCAATAAGACAGGAAGGTAGCATGAGAGACACCAGCTACCAGAAGAGATCTCTTATCTTTTAAAAGTCATGTTGACCGAAATGCTGAAACATAATGTAGCAAAATATAACTAGGTATATCTGCAAAAGGAATAAGTGGATTTTTTATGTTTAGGGTGTTCCGACCAAATTGATTAGGTTCTTGTGTTGTTTTTTGTCTGACATAAATGGCAGAAATTCTTACAAAAACTAAAATGTGGACCTTTGAAATACAGAAACAGAGATATAAACAAGGCATTCATTAAACATTTTATTATTACATAGATATTTGTCAAAATTATAGTAGATGTGCATTAAACTGACTCCTGTTTGGTTTAGTTTCACAGAAAGTCGGTGTCGGAAAGTGCACATTATTTTAATGTTTTTTAATATTTTAATTTGATTTAATCATAGATTTTCGCTTGTAAGGAGTAGACATATGATTCAGATATCTGCGGAATCGCTAGAATCGTAGCTTTTCAAGAGTATCTCCTGTGAGACTGTACCCAGGGCACAGCAGCCAATATTGCCGCTCAAAGCAGCTTGATTCGGCGTTACACTGTGTGTGATTGGTGGATTTGTGTGTCAGTCAAGGACATCTTGGCCGGCCGGCAGCCATGTCGGTCTGAAATGACCAATGGACACTCTAGAAATCTAAGGACCTACCCACCAATACAAAAATATATAACAGGTGTCTCCCATCAGTTTCAGTCTTTTAGTCTGTGAAGAAGATAGAGAAAATGGCTCGAAGGAACTTTACCGTTGCGGACGCGCTGGATTTTATTTTCGCGAGCGGCAGTGAAGAAGATGGCTCATCAGAACCTGAAGGCTTCGACTCTTCTGAAGAAGAAGAATACAGGGACAGCAGGGATCCATTTGAGGATGGGTAAGTGTAAATATAACTTGTAGTGCATTTGCCATTTTGTGAGGAGTACCGCGAAAATGAACAATGGATTTATCAACCTTTTTATTTTCCCCTCATGAACTTTTTCTCGGGACAAAATAGACTCTTGATTAGTAAACGTTTACTCTGTGTAAATGTTATTTATGTGTAAACGTTATTTTGGCATGTATAAGTAAGGTTACATGTGTAGATGAATAAAAAGAATCCTTTATTCGTCCCACAACGGAGACATTTATAGACATGTATTTTATTTGATCATACTGTTCTGTACAGATGAGACTTTGTCATAGACTTATTTACATGTGTGTCTGTGATAAACTTTATTTATGTGTAAACGTTATTTCGGTGTGTATAAGTAAGGTTACATGTGTAGATGCATGAGATAATCCTTTATTTGTCCCACAACGGAGACATTTATATGTGTGCCTGCCATTTGTGGGGAGTGCTATGTAGTAATGGGGAGTTGTGTGTGTGTGTGTGTGATAATTGTCTCACAATTTTTATTTGTTTTACAGAGAGGTTTCACAGCTGCCTGGGCCTAGCGGCCCACAGATGACATTCATCCAGGAGCCTCCAGCACAGTGAGATCTACCGTGGATCAAGGGCCTTCACCACTGCCATCCCCACCAAGCACTAGCGGACCAGCATCACGACAGCTGCCTCCATCTCTGCCTGCAACGAGGTCAAGATACACCTCAGCTCCGCCACAGCCATCACCATCAACCCGGACAGCAAAGAGGTCTCGTAGAGCACACATACCTCCCACACAGCCACCAGCTGCCCATGCACCATCACCCCCACCTGCACAGCAGCCAGCTCCACTGTCTTGGAAGACAGGCGAAGACCCTGACACTGCTCCCCCTGTCTCCAGGTTTCAACCTGCTCGCACACCCGGGCCACAGCTCAGCTCAACAGTATCAAACAAACCCCTTGACCTGTTCAAGCTGTTCTTCAGTGCACTAACAGTACAGACACTCTGTACCAACACAAACAAGCGGGCTGCACAGGAGATGGGAAAGGGTAAAACCTACAAATGGACTGACTTGACTGTAGAGGATTTCTATAAATACATGGGGCTGCTGAAACTGGACAATCTACTGGAAGAAGGATCATTTTGTCAGTGTATAATGAATAGTTGGTTGAAGGAAAAAAAGTTCTGATGTTCAATATTGTAAATAGTGAGATTTTGCAGTTATATTTATATACATTGTTGGTATTATAATAAATTGTTGGTTGAAAAAAAAAGTTCTAATGCTCAATTCTTTTTTTTTTTTACACATCACATGAACCTTGTTATGTGATATGAAGTCATTATTCAGTCCTGATATATCTCAGTCCCTGCTGTGGTGAAAGTAGAGTGATTGACAGCTGTTTTACTCAGAATTCGAATTTTATAAAATTTCATTTTAGACATGAATAACACATTTATATACAGTGTAATTCAAATATTTCAATACTTTTGTAATCCTAAGACTTTGGTAACCAAATCTAAAACACCAAAACAATTCGATCACATGAGTAAATTTGTGTTTTCACTGTCAATGGGTGCGATCGTGCGATATAGCGTGTATGTAATATTACATTAGGCTACAAATACTGACTTGAGCCCCACCACTGTATGGGTTAGCCCTACCATAGACTACCCAACAAAAATACTCTGGCGCCGCCACTGGCAGTGTGTCTTCCACATAGTGATGGTAAGTCACATAGTGCATAATATTCTCAATTCTTAACTAAGCCATGGCACAGGGAACAACATGTAGAATAACGAACACGGATGCATGAACCTTTTTGATCAGACACAAGAGGTACAGATAAAAGAGTTTGTACAGCATTGGATTCTCTTCAATCTCAAGAGGTACAACCTTTAAACTCTTTGATAACTATTGGAAGGCATTTTGGTGACAATTAAAACTAAATATATAAAATTGTCAAAATTATCGCGTTAACGGCGGTAATTAATTTTTTGAATTAATTGCGTTAAAATATTTAACGCATGTGCAGAATGGCCCGCCCCATACATCCCAACAGTGGCAGCGCCAGGGTATGGCTGGGGTAGGCTACACCCATACCAAGAAATGGCTTAGCCCCACCATGAAAAATGATGTTAAAGTAAGCAAAATAAAGTCCGCCAACTCTCGCCGAGAATTGCACAGACAGCAGTTGGTAAAATTGATTTCAGTAGCCACTTGTCTGGAAATACCGAAGACCAGAAACGGTTTTGAAAACTTTTGTCACGTAGTGATCGTCTTCTCAATAGAACATCTTTGATAATGTCTTCTGGCCAATCAGAATCAAGATAACGGCGTGGTGTTGTTGCAGGAAGTCCTGACGGAGAATACTTTTGCTGTAGTACAGGCAGGGGCGTAGCTGGAAATTCTGGGCCCCATGAAAGAATCTATTTGTGGGCCCCCAATCCATGCGAGTGCGCGTTAGCGCGCACGCTAAAACAAATTTGGCCATTTATTTATTGCATTGCACTAGCTTTTTTGCTGTAGCGGCCGGGTTGCTGCCTTTCTCAGCAGAGTGCTAAAGCCCTACCCGTTACACGCGCAAGTAATTCGAGGAGGCGCGAGTGACAAGTGTTGAGCTATTGGTGGGGACAATTCAGGATTCTTGGATACTGGTGGGGTCATGACCTTGCGTCCACCCCCTAAACGACACGATGAAACCCAACCTCGAAAACCCTGTTGAAGTTAATTAACTGTAATGGACTGCAAGAAATCAACATGCACTGACTATCGACTTTATCTTCTGTCTATTTAATTGAAAATTACACCCAATACAGGAATGAACAAACGAAAATTCTCAACATTCTTTGACTTATTAAATTAAGATTTGAACAACACAAGGACAAAAGTATAAATTAACTGAAGATTTGAACACAATTATAAAACAATAAACTCTCAGGACATGAACACACTTACAGCAAACAATGAAAAATGTAGTGCTAGAGGACTATGCATCAGATATTAATTGTTCACAATGTGGGCTGTAGCCTGTCAGCTTACTATAGGGAAACATCCCACAATCCTGTCATAGACTGGATTTGTATCCCTAAATCCCGAACGCCAATCGCCGGACCTTCTTGGTGGCAACATCTTTTACGAGCTCTTTGAAATCAAGTGACAGAGCCAGCTTGCTTTCAATCGATAACATTGCAAGGCTGTTCAACCTCTCTTGCGACATGGTAGATCTTAAATAGCTCTTGATAAGTTTCAACTTACTAAATGATCTTTCACCACCAGCTACGGTAACTGGGAGCGTCAAGAAAATTCTGAGGGCAATGCAAACGTCTCCAAAAATGCTCTGGAGTTCCATCTTGTATATTGCATTCAGTAGATCAAGAGAGCTACAATAAGGGGGGAAAGTGGCAGAACATATTTTATTGAGATGCCTTATCTCACTCTCAAACTGATCTGTGAGATCCTGTGAGTATTTCTCCCTCAGTGGCTGACACACAGAAGCCATGACACTGTCACTCAACTTCCCAATTTTAAGTATGGCAGCAAATTCTTCAACAATATTTGCTGTTGTTTGGAACCGAGTGTCCAAGTCACTTATGATCTGGTCCATGGCAGTGAAAAACACAGTGTTACGGAATGTTGTTTCTGGCCTATCCTCCTGACCTGTTCCTTCAGCAGTTTCATCATGAAACCTCTTCCACCTCCTCTCACGGCAAAGTTCTTTTTTGAAATGAGGTGGAACCTCCATTTCCTTAGCTACCATTGATGCCTCAGACAGAATAGCATCCCATCCATTTCTGAGAGTCTGCATCTCATCTCTTAGTGCAGCAACATTACCTG